TATGAGTGAGATGCATATTTTCAGTTATCGAAGAATTCCGTTTGATTTGTCCGCCAATTAAACTAGCCTTCTCGAATTTAATCAATTTAAACAAAACCTCATTTTTAATCCAAAAAAGCCTTATCTTGTGACAACATTACCTAACTATAGCTAATATAAGTTATTGCAACCAAACTTTATAATAATGTTTTGTATATATATAATACTTAGTCTTTCTTGTTTCTCCATTATTTCCATTTCTTTAAAATAATAACTTTCTGAATTAAACCTGAAAACATCCAATTGAAACTTGAAATTTCAATTTAAAAAAAAACCCAAGGTCTCAGCTGTTCTATGAAAATATGAAGATGCGACGATGTATTCAAGAATTTAGTCCTCGTCCAGTACCTTCGAAACTGATTCAAAATATCATCAAATCAGCAGGTACGGCAAATCATCAAATTGAAATTAATCAGCTTTTTAAATACCGCAAAAACAATTAATATGCCAAAGGGGATACCAAAGAACAATTGACTTGTCTAAGTATAAGTAATTTTATTGAAATTTCAAAACGGAATCGAAAAATTGAAAAACCAAGAAATTTGGCAATATTCGGATGGATTCGCTGTCAAATTTGAAAAATTTTTTTAGGTACCGCACCGAGTGCAGGCAATCTGCAACCATGGATGTTTTGCATAATCAGTAATTATGGAGTAAAAGCTACGATAAGAAAGATTATTGAGGAGGAAGAACGAAGCACTTATAGCAAAAAGTTTCTGGAAACTTATGAACTTGATTAACTTTTAAATTTTGTTGCAAAGTAGATTATTAATTCTGATAAAGATTCACAATAAAGATTCACAGGAAGTCTAATGGGTCCTATACGTCTAAGTGATCAGGAATCATATAAAAACATATATTTGGACAGGAAGTCAGTTAAATAATTTTAACAAAGGCATGCGCATTCGATTGAAAATACAAATTAAAAGTCTAATATTCAATCTGAATTAATATCCGACTTATTATGTCATCGAGAGAGACGATATCGTCCAGTGATAAGAGTGTTTTTGTTCAGGATGGGAGCTGATTGGGTGCTGGATATAGCAGAACTGAAAGTTATATGGTCCAAACCATATCTTACTGAAGCCCCTCATCTCATTGTGGTGATGAAACAAGTAGAATTTACAGTTAATTTGTTTCGCTTTATTTGAAAGCATAATGTTAATTTATTACCAGTTCTCATGCTAAGAATTGCAAGTAAAGCCAATTTAATTCCTAGCTAAGATAGCGTGATAAAAGTGTCTTACGAATAGAATGAAAAAAAAGTTTTAATTCCTTTCACATCAAAATTTCATTTAAGAAATTCAATTATATCCAATTTTTGTTTCGTTTATTGTTAATAAAAAAATCTTTTCTCACATATTTTACTTTTTTAGCTACTATAAATTATTGAATAGCTAAATTTAATTTATCTTTATAGAGTTATTAGATACTTAATTAACCATCTATTCAAGTTTCAGGCTCATTTGATCAATGATTCAAATGAGTTGACTTCAACGCATTACAATCAAATAAGTATCGGTATAACAGTTGGCATTTTAATCGCAGCTCTTCAGGTTACTTTGCAGTATTATTAAAAGTTTGCTTCACTTTAGTTTCTATCTATATATTTTTATCAATTGCCTTTTAGAGATTGAGTGCTAAATTATTGAAAATCTTCCAGGCAACTTATTTAATTGGTGCTAACAATGATCTCAATTGCTGAACTTTTTTTAGGAAATCTAAAAGTATTTCCAGGATGCAGGACTAGCTACTTCAATCACCTATCCATTATACGGTGGTGAAAAAATTCGAAAACACCTAAAAAGACCACCGGACGAAGAGGTTTTTCTTCTTTTACCGGTTGGATTTCCAGCCAAAAACGTTACCATACCTGATCTTAAACGTAAATCCGTTGAAGAAATAATTCGATGTTACGTATAACGACCTTATTATTTTCCTGTAATAATCCAATCGTTTTTAAAACCCTAAAATTTTCATATTTTCTGGAAGTGAGTGTGTCTGGTGAAAATGAAAAGATAAAGAAAAGGATATAATGAGGAAGAATTACTCAATGAGCCAACTGTTTTATATTGGAACTAATAATCCTTTTATATCAGAATTAATACTAGTCCAAAAAAAAAAAAAAAAAAAAAAAAAAAACTGGGTTTTCATCCTGAAGTAAGATGTTATTTATTGCATATATGAAACATTCATTCCATCTGCAGGTTGTCAATGAATGAATTGAGGCAAATAGTTAAACAATAACATCACACAGAAATAGATTAATATAATGGATGGTATTCAGAATTTCCACGCAGCTTTGATTATTTTGGTGCAAAGACACTGATTTGCAAAGTTTTTGGCTGAATCTTAACTACAGTTTCTTCTAAAGTAATTCAAAAGATTAATATAATAATTATTAATGCAAAAATGGGGAACACTGTGTTATTGTTTGGGTTTTAAACAAAACATGGAATTAAAAAATTGGAATTTCTTAAATTAAGTACATTAATTACCTGCTCATATTATTGATCTTTTTGCCGAGTGACACCAAATATATAAAATGATAGATAAAGCAATTCGTTCTACTTTAAAGAGCACTTTCCAAAACTGATTAATCTATGAGAACAATTTTCTAACGTACTATTATCGGTACGTTATTGAACGAATATTCATCAAACAATCCAATCACCTGTTTGTTACTCACCTATACCTATTTTCGACGTATTCTATTCCCGTTCATACAATTTTCCATGTTTCAAAGCTGGAAATATTTTTACGTGTTAAAAATGTCATAAATGGCATGTACGTTGTAGCAAAAAAAATTATGAACATCATTTTATTTCTATTCTAATGCGTTAGGTTTTTCAAGAAAGTTGCTGGTACCATAAAGAATTCCGGTTATATATATTAAACGGCATCAGTGCTTCACTGAAAAACAACAGGCTTTTTTGCGCTGAAGCATTATTTTTTTCTGTTAACTTGCTCATGCATACGTAAGTAACTCATGGAATCGTCCACCAACATCAATTCTAGCTGACAAACAGGAAGTTTGAGATTTAACAACTGCAACAAAAAGCAAAACGAAACACTGGGGAAGAAATAGTTTTATTTTTGTAATTCTTAAATAATTTTGTTTTCGTAATTGTTCTTTTAACGTTAATTTTCTGTAAGTACTCGTCACACTTATAAAAGATTCGCTGATATTTCAGTGCTCATCAAATCATTTAGTGGACATTTGTCTCTTCGTATCTGTATATCTTCACTTTTAGTTTTTAGACCATTTGTCCTTGTTTTCCTGGTGGTATTACAGATTGAAGGAGTAATTTTTCCGCCATTTTGGCTGCTATAACGTTCTATTAAGATTGAAAGTTGATTTAGGAAATTTCTATTTATCAGAATTAGTGGAAACATTGTGGTCTCATTATGCATTATTATATATGACTGTTTATTAGGTAAGTAAAATACGTTCATCCCATCGTGTTTATTAATCAATGATGATAGCGCTACTTTTAAAGTACTGTTCCTTCTATGAACTCTTAATTCTATTTCATAATCAGTGACATAAAATATATGTGAAGCTGTCATAAAATAATTTACTTTAAGCAGTCATACATTCTTTTTCTTTTTTTGTCTCCTTTATCCTTTATATCCTTCTTATGTTCGTAAAATTTCCTGAATGAAATGGACAGATGTTTTCTCTTTTTGTTATTGCGCTATTTTAACTCAGCCTTACTTTATCAGATCCGTTGAAGAAAGTGAACTTTTACGTTCACAAAGTATACTAGCTAAATATCCAAATAATGACAAAAAAAGTCAAATTCAATTCTTTCATTATCTTTCATTGAAGGGACAGGAATGACGAAGTGGTCATCCTGCGAATGTAAAATCGTCTCGAAATTTTTGAAATCCGAAAACATTTCCTTCATCGACTGATGATAGTCCAGTAGCTAGAATTAGACCCTGCTGAATCCCATTCTGTAGTGCGTCCCATCTGTAACTATGTCATTACCGGTGAAAATGGTTATTTGAAAGGACAGCTTCATTTTGCCGAGGGATTGGAAAAGGACAATGATGATTTTTGAAGTTCTTCGCTACAGTGCTGTGAGAGTCATCATGGATGTCATTACAATCTCCATCGTATTCACCATTTGGGTGAGAAGTGTGAGAAGAGAAAATATAATGAACCCTGAAGATGAGCGAGAAGTATTGTTGTTTGCAAAATATAACGTCGTGGAAAGTTAAAAAAATTAATAGATACAGCAACAATACGTGGTTGGAAAAAGTGACGAGAAAGCTTTAATTGGAGGGAAGTGGCAGTATCAGAAGGTGGTAGATAGAGCAGGGCAGGGTATGTAAGAGGAAGAGTTGTCAGAGTGACCAAGTAATCAGAGTAGCCATTGCATTGTCTATGGTCAGATTGAGAGAATTCCTCCCTCTCTTTATTTACAGCCTTACTGTTGGCCCTCGAATAACGCAGATAATGGTCAGAATAAAAAAAAAAAGGATTATTGGCCAGTTTATTCTCCTATTTATCATATTTCCGTATTTTATAATATAAGGGTTAGTATAGCGCGTTGTTGTAGTATGACCGTTATGGAGTGGTTAAGATGTGAATTCTTTGTCGCTACATTTATTTAACTAGTTAGACTATAGGTGTGTTTCCCTGAGCATACATATTCAATTCTGTTGTTCAGCTGTTTTGGACAGCTAATTCTCATTATAATCTGTGGTTAACATTTCGCTGGTGATATTCTTTATACATTCCTTTTTCTGTCCATTCGTTTTATATTTCTCTGGGAAGTTATCCAACTCTTTCCTTCTATTTTCAAAAAAACTCGTGAATCCATTTGTTGAATTGTAAAATAAGTGACGGGACTTTAAAGTTTGTCAGAAGACAATTTCAAATACGAAAAAACTGCCATTTTTCATTACTACAAAACACTTTTCAGTACTAACAAAAAGCTGATTGCACACAAATGGACGACTCAAGTTGTGTGCGCGTTGCAGTAAGGTGATGTTTCCTAACATTTTATCCACACTGTTATTGTTGAAGGCTGAAATGCTGAAGGAACTCTTGCTAAATTTCTGCCTAATTTCCTATAACAACTCAAAATACTGCTAAGTTGTCTTTTTATTTACACCTACAGAAGTAGGGCAATTAGCAACGAAACCGCTATGAAAAGATAGAAATAGGTAAGAAATAGCGTGTGTCATTTGTTTCAGTTTCATTTTTCAGCATTCCTTTAAGTTATTTGCAGGGTGAGACCGCAATCTGAGCGAGAGAAAGTTGAAAACAGTCACGTTTGTACAAATGTTTTACAAAAAGAAGCACAGGTACCGGACTGCACAAATTTGCGCACTAGCATGCATTTTCATAGCATATGTAAAATGCAATAGCTGACTTATTAAAGTTTATTTGCATAAATTGTCAATTGTTGTCTTGTTTACAGATAACGATTGGTGGTGAAAGAAGCTTTACATTTGATTATGCATTTGATATTGGAACTCATCAGCAAAAAGTTTATGATGATTGTGTTAAAAATTTAATCGAAGGAACTTTTGAAGGTTTTAATGCAACCGTTCTAGCTTATGGTCAGGTGTGTTTCTCATTTTGTAGAAATATTTGACTTAGTACATTTATTACTGTCTAGTGCTGCCTCATTTCAGTTTCATTAGTTTTGTGCTGATACGTGTTTTTTGTGACACTTGTTTACTGTATAGATTTATCACATTCGTTTGTTTCTGTAAGAATGCGTGATTATTTGTAAGTATGCATGGAATTCATAAACTTCCAAGTGTAATATAATGTGTTACAGACTGGCAGTGGTAAAACTTATACGATGGGTACAGCGTTTGATATGATGGATGTAATGAACGAAATCGATGTGGGTATTGTGCCACGCGCCATTAGGCATCTGTTTTCTGGAATGGACTCTCGCAAACAACAGGCTTTAGAGCAAGGTTTCGTAGAGCCTTGTTTTGACATTGTTGCACAGTTTGTTGAGGTGCGTTAAACAGAAATGCTTCTTAAAGCGCAAATCAAATTAAAAGTTTTTTCACCTTCAATTCCGTTTTTTCGATTTATCCATCATTCGACTAATCCATATTTTTCCAATCAAAGCACTCTTTTTTTCAGTTGTACAATGAAGATATAATTGATTTATTAAGCCATGAACGATCACCTACAGGCCTTCGTATTCACGAAGATGCGAAGGGAGAAATCTTCTTAAATGGTGTAACACGAGTTACAGTAACAAGTCCCTCACAGGTTAATAACATTTGAACTCTACCATGACTTGTTAAAATCAGTTTTTAAAACTACTATCCAAAGTACTTTTAGAACAGGGCCTTTTTATGTTATCTGTTACTTTAGTGTATTACACAGTTTGATGAAATTGATGAAATATGAGGATGTTTTTCAAGATATGAATTCCATGGTTTCCTCGATTTTAGACACTGGAGGTCTTGAAAAATGGTGCACTAAATCGAAAGACTGCGTCAACCAATATGAATGAACAATCATCGCGTTCACATGCCATTTTCACAGTGATAATTAAACAACAACGGACAGTTGTTGTCAAAGTACATCATTTAGCTTAGTAACATATTTAAATTCGCATTTATGCTCTCCACTAGATTTTTATGTCTATCAATTTAAAGTTTTTGGTTTCAGCCGTGTTTTGATCCGCAAACTGTTGAACAAGATGACGAAACTTCTGCATCAGAAGATCCTCCTGCGACTGAGCTGGAACTTCTAAGTGCCAAGTTTCATTTCGTTGATTTGGCTGGTTCGGAGCGTTTAAAACGCACCGGTGCTACTGGTGATCGAATTAAAGAAGGGATTAATATCAATTTTGGATTGGTATTAACTTGTCCTTTATTTTTCTTTAATATGCAAAACTAAAAAATTGTTTTTCTACTCTTGTCGATAAGGGCTGTATATCGAAAAGAATATTATGTCAAGCATTGTATTTCTTTTGATTCCAGTTAGCATTGGGTAATGTTATATGCGCCTTAACTACACCCACAACAGTGGACAAAATGGTGCATATACCATATCGAGATTCAAAGCTGACTCGTCTTCTCCAAGATTCACTTGGTGGAAACAGGTCATGATCAAAATTATTCATGAATAACACGCTTTTTATTAGTAAAATGAAGAAAGGTTTGTGAAATCAATATATTAGTATGATATATGGCGGTTTTTAGTCGAACTTTAATGATTGCCTGTATCAGTCCATCGGATTGCGATTACGTAGAAACACTAAATACCCTGAAATATGCTAACCGAGCAAAAGATATCAAAAATAAGGTATTTTATTATTTCAGTTTAACAAGATTTATTTATACTAATTTATGAATTTAGAATATGATGCACCTGTGCAGTTAGATTTTTTAGGTTATAGCAAATCAGGATAAGTCAAGCAAATTAATTGGAACTTTGCGCTCACGCATAGCCGAATTAGAGGCTGAATTGTTGGACTTTAAACAGGTTATTTTATAGTGCTGCTGTGTATTTCAACCCTCATGAATTTAAGTGGTCAAATTAACATAGTTTTTTCTTTTTTTTTTTTTTTTAAAAAATAAAGCATCCTACTTTATATTGTGAATACCTCTAAAAGATTAGTCAATCACATATTTTGCAGGGTCGAATAACAGTTTCAGATGGTATTGAGTCCTTCAACGATCAGTATAGAGAGAACGTTTTGTTACAGGTTTGATATATAAATAGTTAGTAGATAGAAGATTCAAATTAAGGGAAGTTATTGGTATCCATTTGTGTGATGCCAAATTAACAGTGGAAGCTTTATTCAGGCTTTATAAAAGGTGAATTTAATACATTCTCGGGGATATGTTTTTAAGTATGGTGAAATGTTGGGAATAAAAAAAGTTTTTTTCACAACTTATTGTTTTAAATTTAAAGTTATCAGAGTTCATTTTATTGCTAAAGTGACTTGAGTTATTGCTTCAGGCAGATGTAAGTCAATTAAGAATTCGGATCAAGGCTTTACAAGAAACGGTTGAAATGCTAAGAGCTCGGAATGTCCAGCTGTTAGCTGAAAAAAATGAAGGATGTATAAGAATGCGTATTTCGGACAGTCATGATCAGCAAGTATGTATTGGTAAGCGTTTAAGAAAGCACACATTTGAATAAGTTCAGTGATGATGAAAAGTCATAAACTGTTTTTGTAGAAAGTACAACTAACGAAGTAGGAGAACAAGAAGGTGATGCATTTGGTAATGCAGTGCGCGTATACATTGATGAACTTGAATCTCTGAGGTTAATGTTTTCCTTTTTCCTTTCAAATCTTTGAGAAATGAAGTTGAAAAAAAAAAAAAAAAACCTCTAATATCATTCATCCACTGTTGTTCACATTAAGACAAATATTTAGATGCGCGTTAATGGAATCACATGCAACAAATGAGCAATTGCACCAGCAAATGAATCGCTGGAAAGCGATAGCAGCGAATAATACGCCAAAAATGCATGTAGACTATTTAGTCAACTGTGCTGCTGTTATCAGCAATTCATCGGGTAATAATGCGGAAAGAGTCACAGCATCCACTCCAACTTTTTCATTGATCCAGGAAGCAAAAGCGGATATTAAGCGTATGAAACAAAGTATAATAGAAAGTAAGCTTGCTCGGGACATTCTCCGTTTCTTATAATTCTAACTTTTTTCTCTAAGTTTGTCTTCATTAGGTATTAATTACTTTTTATTTCTTGGAGTTAAGGTTCACTTGAAGAGGAGAAGATAAATAATGATGAAGCGAAAATAAATGCGGATGATGTAATGAAATCTAGTGTAGTGATGGATGACTTTGAGGTGGACTATGAAGATGACGAAGATATCGAAGTTGAAAATGAAGCAGAAACAGGTGATGTTCTGTTATCGTTGTAGATTTCCGTCATTCATTGCGAATTTAGTGTCGAAAGTATTTCTCGGGTTGTTGAAGTTTACAGCTTCCACACATACTATTCTCATACTTCCGAATTTTTTTTCTCACTTTTATTGTCTTGAGATTGGTGACTTTTTACTCTCTTTTTTATAGAATGTTTTAAACTCAGAGACAATCTCGCCGACTTACAGGCGGAAATATCGATCAAAGAGCGCTTAGTCATTGAGCTTGAGCAAAGTGAGCGTCGCCTTGCCGAGGTTTTGTACTCTTTTCCTTCATTTAGAATCTCAATTATTTGTTTTTTGGTCACTTTATAACTCTTCATATGTCTTATGTTTTGTTATACATATCACATCTTGAAAATTTGAATTTACGGTGCAAGTCATGTATGAGAAGAAGTTGGCAGAATTGTCGTTGCGGATAAATGAAATGGAAATAGAGCGCGATCGAGTATTGGCTGAAATAGGTGAGTGAATATGTAGCCATGTGGAATGTGGGACACATGTCTCATTCCACATCTTAAATGAAACAGTTATTCAAATTCTCATCTTAATGGAGCGGTTTAGCTGGATTTTGCAATGTTGTTGCATGCTGCTGCGTTATATGAAATTTTTATAATTTAATTAGAATTATTTTCACAAAATGTTTGTACCAAGTCTTTTGTCTTCGTAAAGATGTTATTTCCTCTATATGTTTTTCAGCAGCAAAACATTCACAGAAAGTTGTTGATGCAGAACAAGTTCGCAAGATTCGTGAAGATTATGAAAGGAAACTAACTGCAATGCGCGATGAATTCAGGAAGTTGCAGTCTGTTGAACGTGAACATCGTCGAATGCAAGCAAAACAAGTTGCAGAGCAGCAACAGCTTTTACGGTTGAGGAATGAATTAAATGAATTAAAGAAAACAAAGGTAATTAACTGGAGGTTGAAATTTGCTGAGTTTTTTTCATTCACAAAATGCCTAGTTATCTAGAATTATGCCTAGCTATCTATTATGCTAGAAAAAACTAGTATGCCTAGTTATCTTTGTTTTCTAAAGCTTCGGTTCCTAAACCTTTTGATCAGCTTAAATTGTCTCATCCCCATACACCGACACTGAAAGTTGATTTATGTGTGATGCAGGTTCAATTGATGCAGCGAATCAAAGAAGAAGCCAGGCGTGCTAAAGCAACTGAATTAGCAAACATGAAGAAGCTAGCTGGTTTAGAAAAAGAGTCTAGGTTATTTTATTGATATGATTCGGTCAAGCTTCTATTTTCGATTGTATTCACCCAATTTTGCCTGCTGTTTTCTCTCTATTGGTCTACTGCATCATTCCATAAAACTCTTTTACTGTGTTCTCAGTATAATGAGTTGCACTCATCATTAAGGTAAAAATTTCAGGAAGAAAGATAACTTAATCCAAAAACTTCAAAACAAAGATCGTCAACGAGAAGACTTTCTAAAAAGATCAACCGACGAAGTTAATCGCTTGCGCCAGCAGGTCCGTGAGGTAACTAGATGAGTAACTTTTATACTGAATGTGTATTTTATGAATAGTTCTAATGATAAAATAAGAACTGCTTTAGCGCAGTACTTATGATCGTAAAACTGAGCGAAGTGGAACACAGCGGAACATGCGATCAGCATCACTGCGTCAAGGTTGTGGTACAGTCCCTTTGACGAAACTGGAAGTGAACAAGGCGAAAGCGAAGTGGATGGCTATTGTAAAAAATGTGAGTTTTTCAGATTGTGTAACTTTGTTTCTGTGTAATAAAATATACTTTGTAGCTTATCGAAACATGTTTTCAATTTCTTACAATTATATTACAGATACGTCGCAGGATCAGTCAGCGTCAGGCAGTCACCAAGATGGAAGACGAACTGGAGAAAATTGTAGCTGAGAAACGTATTCTAGCTGAAGAAATTCAACGGCTAGTATGTTATACACTTTTGAAAATGTTTTCAAAATTTAATTTCGTCATGTGCTTCATGTTAGAAGGGAAACTAAAGATTTGCATTGAGGATTAACAGGTTTTACCGACGTTGCTTGCTTATTCGTTTTTTGCTAATAGAACTTATACCATTAATAGAAATTCGGTCTCGAATGAAAGTTTTTGCTTAATAAATTAACTTGTCTAGAATTTAAACATCTATCGACGAAAACTGGGTAAGCAATAACAGCATAATTTTTTGAAGACAGTGTGATAATCTTAAGTAGGCTTATGTGATACATTCCATCAGGAACAACAATTTATCAAGGCGAAAGATCTGGCTGAAAGGGATCTTATTGGTGAACACATTGATGGTTGCTATGCGAAAATGCGCTATGTTCAGGAACAGTTCACGGAATTGAGAAATACAATTGCCGGTATCGACACTGAGAAAGTTAGTGTCTTCTCCGGGTTTTATCTCAGCAAGATGTCTTAACATGATTTTAGTAATTATTTTTGTTCGTAAATTTCATAGGGTAACAGTTGTAAAGATAGCAGGGTTGTGTAATCATTAAATTACTGATGGTTTCCCATATTTTTACATCCATAAGCCAAGCGTTTTCCACTCAATTCAAGTTTGTTTACTCGATAGAAGTATTCCTGCCCACATGTCTTTTTTTTTTTTTATTTTTATTTAACCTGCACAACTTATAACTGATTTGAACAGAATTTTTCCTTAAGCATAGCTAGCTAGTAAATGTTGTAGATTTTGTTACAGTTCTCACCCCTGACGGGAGATAGTCCCAAGACTTTTTTCCGCAAAACGTGACAAAACGAATTCTGTAGTTTTTTATTAGTTAAATTTCATCTGTATGCGTGTTCACTGATGTTTTAAAAACTTTTTTCTTCATCTGTTTGCAACTGATTCGTTCACTTAAAATGTCTCTCTTCAGTTTTTCCATTATCTTACAGATCTAACGTAGTAATAGCAAAATTCTTAAATGTTTTATATATGAATAAATCAAGTTTTTTGAGCTGTCCTAAACTAACCCGCATTTTCGGTCTCATTTGTTTAAGAGCGTAATCCTAACCTCAGATCAAACTTCGTTATGTGTTAAAATAGCTTCAAAAATTTCACTTTTGCACGAAAAAAAAAATTGCAGACAAAAGTCGCTTGTGAGTCTGTACTCACAGCTAGCACTGAGTTATGTAACTACACAAATCTGGCACCAACCAAACCCTTTTAGTAGAAAGAATTATGTGTGCCGATTTTAGAAATCCAAACTATGTAAAAATAGAAGTGATAAACAGCTTAATTGTTTTGGTAATAAGGAAAACATTTTCAGCACTGATATACATTAATGATGGTTTCAGAATTTATAAAATATTAGTAATGGGCCTTCTTGCCACACATCACGTTTGTCTAACAACCTTTAAACAGATTAAGGACAAGTAGGCTCTCAGATCCTTAACTAATCAGCGACAAAATAAAACTAACGGACGAAGCGTGGTGAAAACCATATTGCAATACCAGTAAAAAAATTAAACAACGAATGCGTGGGAGAATGATTGAACTGTCTGATTGTTAACCCAGCTAAAATTTTTAAGTTTAAGCTTTATCAAAGAATGAAGAAAGGCTATGTGGATGACTAGATGTAGCTTCGTTTTCTGAGTGGGAAGCTACTTAATATTGAAGGTATTTTGATTTATTTCATTAGAGAAAACAAAATGTCTTTTCTGATGTGATTTTCTGCTTGTTATTGCTATTCAGTTAGATTGAAATGGCTACCCTCACTGTTTGCGATGAGCGGTTTACCTTTATTCTGGATTATTGTAAATCTGTTTACTTTATTCTTAAACATTAAGTACAAGTGATGAAGTTCGTTCGACCATCGTGGTACCTTCTTGTAGTATTGAATTCAGAGGTTGTGAACTGCTAGTACCACTTTCTTCTTGACTCAGATTGCTTTCACACATTGATTTCCTGGATATCCTTACAATAGTTGAGCGTCGAGCTGCTGAATTCGGTATGATTACTTCTGGGAGTGATCTGAAAGGCGTAAGTATTACAAGATTCGAAATTTAAATATAGATTCTACTTCATTTTTATCCCCCTTTTTGTGCAGTCAAAACGGTGTTTTGGTTGGGGATCTCTGTTTCGTGATGGCGAAGTTATTTTAACTTTTTTTTTTATGCATGAAATTTCCGACTAAGCCATGAATATTTAGTTATCGGAACTGTTGCATTACTCAATGTCAATCTTGTAGTTTTTGTTGTTATAGCATATATCCCTACCAAAAGTGTATAAGCTTGTCGTTAAGCCGTTGTATTTGACCTCATGTGTAGGAAGTCTGTGGTTGGGAATGCATGATCCTTGCAGTGTATCGAGAATATTTCCGAGAATATTCCCTTGCTTCGGAAATAACTATCTCTACTCGTTTTTTGTGCTGTATTTACATTTCTAAATTTCTAAGGTCTTTATGGCTAAATAAGAAAGGAAAAAAAAAGTTAGCTTCGAAGCACGATGGGACATGTTTTAGTATTTTTTTATAAGTTTCAAACGTATAAAAAAAGTGGACCGTTTCGCCTTTCTCATTGTTTGCACTGCAAGTACAGCAAATAAAAAGGCACACAGTGCAGCACCAGCAGCAAATAGTAATCTTCTCCACTGAACATCTTGACTGAACACTGTTAGCCATATGCATATGCTGAAGCTGAGTAGTGATCCAATCATGCAGAGGAAAAGCTTAAAAAGTTGTAGTTTGCATGATCGAATAGTAAATACTATTTGTTATGGGAAAATAGAGAACTTAATTTGGTATACGAATCTCTTATTTAGACTGAAATTTCAATTCTGTTTGAAAATTAATTCTATTTTTTGGTTTCACTAGAACTTTAATTCAGTTTCGAGATTGTGTTATGTTTTTAATTTAAATTCCAGATTTTTAGTAAGCGAATAAAAAAAGTTAGGACACAATTGGCAAATATTGTGTGCTCTCTGCATTGTCTTCACTAATTAAGGATCGATTAATTAAAATTTTGGCTAACTGATAATGAAAGCGGAAAAATATAACCTGTCCACCCAGTGAAGTTCTATTTGCTCGTTTGCGCGTGCTGATTGTATGTTGAAGCGGTATTTTTATGGTTCCGCTGCAATGACTGCCACGTCCTTCCCCGTAATAGCTTTGCTAGAATAAATAGAAGTAAAATAACTGAAACACTAAATGTTTGTTAGATTTGGTAGTGTAAGAAGAAAGTTTTCTTAGGGATCTGTTCTAAAATTAATTACCAGTCTGTAAATATTAAATATTGATTTCAGGATTTTTTTTTTTGAGTAGTTAGTTATTGTGAAGATATTAGTTGTTGGTTGGAAAAAAATTTCTTTGAACCACTAAAACACTTCTGAAACCTTCTGTTTATATATATATATTGTTAGCATGAAAAAATCTCATTTTTTGGATTATTAGTTTTAGTGGCTAGAAATAATTAAGGTGATGAAGGATAAAATATCAGCTAAAACTTTTAGTCTTATATCTTCAGGAAGACAGTACATAGGTTTGTTTTTAGTAGCGTTTATGAATTTTTTGATTTCGAAACAAAGAAAAAAGTAATTAATTTACTTTCACTGCAGTACTTGATCTTCGGTATTCTTGGGACATAGGAGACCGTTTACTGCCGTTGCTTGCTATGGTCTCGCTTTAAATACATCTGCAATTGCCGACTTTTTTTCTTTTTTTAAATAGTGTTCCTTAATAACGGTTTTAAAGAAAAAAGTGGTATGTAATAGGATAGGCCCAGCAACCTACATGAGATATTGGTGCATGAAACTTTGTTAGTTAATACAACAGCACAAAAGATAATTTGAAAATGCTTGGTTGAGAATTGGAGAAAAACAGCAAAAAAACAAAATTTTTTAATAAATTATCCAGGATTCACTACTGTTTGAAAGGGAATGTGGTGGGATCATTCTTTAATTGGAGTTACGGTCAAAAAATAATTTAAAAAATTGGTTGCACATATATTAAAATGAGAAACTTGATGAAGAAGGAAACAGTATAGCTCTCCCAGAAGCTGAAAGTCGAGACTTTGTCATTTTACAAAAAGATTAGATGCGAACAGAAGATTCACATTTTTTCGAATTTGAATGGTTTGAAATTTTTTGTTAATAAATAAATGGATGATAGTGATCTTGCAAGACTTTTGTATACAAAAATGTGTAATGGGTTTGGATGTGTTAGGAAACGAGTAGTATTTAACTGTCTTCAATACATTTGTAATAAAAAAGCTAGTAAGTTTATAAAAATCTTCATCTGTTTATTGCTCAGTTTCAGGTGAAATGGGGAGTCTTTTTCTATCGTTAAATAAAGCTACTTTACCATTGATGCAAATGAAATGGTTGAAAAAAATATGTCCATGTTAATATCGCAAACACTAAAAAACTAATTATTGAAAATGTGGAAAACTTTTAGTTGGTATTGCTTGTGTGCAAGCTCATTGAGAGTACCCGTATTGAGGTCATTTCCAACTGGTTTTTTTTTTCACAGTTATAGAACTTAATTAATTATGAGACGAAGAGCTCTGTAAGCATTTGGATGAAATTTATGACGAAAGGTTTAACTGACACTTTAGATATATAATTTAAGTAGGCTTTGAAAAGCGACGGACATAGTGAACAAGCATTTAAAAAGTGGTGAGAAGGAGGGTCTTTTTGAAGAAGGAAGAATGTAAAGTAGAATGCGTTGTTTTTATAACTTTTGAGCAATTTATTTTGAAATGGATGAAAATCCCAAGTAATCAAGAGAAGTTTTCTTTAAACAGTTCTAATTTAAGTGAGGTTTTAGAAAAGAAATAGTGTTTTTGATAAAAATAACGCTTTATTAGAGCCAGCAGCCAAAAGAAATAACCGTGACAAGACCAGACTAATACTTTTCAGTGTTTTCTCCTTTCTTTTCGTCTCCGTTTACTCCAACTCTTTCTCATTCCAATCCTCTGGTAGAGCCAGAGAATATGTAATAGAGCTTGTAAGAGAAGTTTTAATTGTCTAAGTTTATGTTACTTCATTTCATCAACAACACCGATAACAAGATTTGTTCCATACCTCGACTATTTTCCTGTATTTACACTTCCGCTCATTCTTTCATCAGGCTAAAACCAAAACACACCCTCCTACTGTTATAATACTATTGCTGTTTGTTTCCAACATCCAGATTGTATTACTTAGTTTCAGTCGTAATTATTTTTCACAACTTATTTTTGTTGATTGTTAGTAATTAACAACTGATTCGATTAAAGTCAACTTATCCGTTATTCTGAATAGATTAGGACTCAGTTTTATTATGAGAGTTCTTTTTCATTTAAAATTTGAAAACACGACAGTGTCGATCATGCCTTAACTTCGACGCATTCTGGTGAAAAAACTGTTTAACAGCAATTAGAGCGATTACTGAGCAAAAAATATTTAATATTATTTTGAGCCTTTTTTCTCTTTTTTTTACG